CTGTACAGGTGCTGAGAACTGATCAGTTCATTGGAGGCAGAGCAGGTTCCTACAGGCCTGCTAGAAACATGAGCACTGTTATTAAGTGGTTTTGTTAGTGCCTGAATATTCATGTCCTAGCAACCTGACTACTGGTAGCTGAGACTGTTCCAGCCTCCTAAAATTATTCATGAGGCAGTTTATTTATGTTAATCACAGATACATTTGCATGTTAATGGCAGCATTTGTCTTAAAGCTAATATTTTCATGGGAAGAGCAGGGAGGCATTTGAACAGGCTTTTGGAATGGGTCAGAGGAGGCTGAGCAGGGAGAATCAAGTGGAATTTTTTGGCCTTGTGTTCCAGGATTGGGTAGAAGGTAGTTTCTCCATGAGTGTCAACTGTGCTCCCCTGGATGGGTTTCCTAGCAGTGCCAGTGGTAGGGGAAGGGGAGAGATTCTGGGGTGGGAGGTAACTGCATGGGAATGGCAGGGACAGGAGCAGCTCTGTTGCAGGGTGTGTGGAGAAGCATACAGTGTGTAGACACATGGGTGGCTTTTCCAAAGGGCAAGGAGGCGATAACAACCTCAGCCTAACTTGCTTCACTGGCTTCTGAGTTTTGACTCAGCTTCTGCAGGCTTGTAGATAAGCTACCCGTTGACTCCATGCTTCCGCTGCTGAAGTATTTGATGTGATTTCTAATGATAAGCTGAATTTGGAGACCCCTCTCTTCTGCAGACTGACAGCCTTTTCTTGCTCAAGGTTTTAAACTGCTGTATGGAGAAAGTGTAGGATCTAAAGGGACTGAAATCCCAGGGTCAATGTGTGGTTTGTAGGGAGGACCAGGCACTGCTGCAGTCTCTTGTAAGTGGAAGTAGGCTGGGTTCTGCTCGTAGGGAGCTGGTAATCCTCCTGGAGCCAGTGGGAGGAGGGTGGTGTCACCCAACACTAAGGGGACATACAGGTTCTTTTAGGGATCCTTGGCAGAATGATGGTGGCACTGTGTCATAGTTAAAGCTTTATTTTCTTAACAGATTTTTATGATAAGTACAGCACAGATTTTGTTATTAGAATGGCACAGGATTTCTACAAGCAGAATCACTATAGTACAATGTACATGTACTGTAAATTCTGTAATACAGAATTTGTAACACAAAGTATGATGTCTAATCACCTGGACCCCCTGCAGATCGGGTCAGATTTTAATACGTGGTTTACTCTATCAATATAACAATCATAATCTAGACTCAAAAATCACATAGAAGAAGACAAGTCACTCAGTCGTCGGAGGAAGCATATGATGGTGGGGTGTCCCTGGTCCCCGGGGGTCACGGCTCTCACTGTCCAGCAGCAGCTCTGGTCCAAGTTCCCCTGTTTAGGACTTGTAATGGCTTGATTTTGTAGACAGTGCTCTGGGTGCTGTTATGCTTCCCTGTTCTGTGACTGGATCATCACCACCACCTGGCTGGCCTGGGGCCTTCAAGGCCAGCACTTTTTAACACCCTGAGCACTGTTTAACACCATGTCCCAACAGACTTAGATGACTTGGTGTTCGAAGTGCCCAAAGGGGTGTAAGTCTGTCAACTTGAGCTTGCTGTCAATGAAAGCAGGAAATGTGGAAGTGAAAAAACCTGGTGAGAGTGATGGGCCCCTTTGCATCTCCGTGGACATCTTGCTGTTGAGTGGATCCCTGGGTAACTCTGTCAGGCTCAAAGTTTTAGGAGCATCAAGAACCCATGAAAGACATGGTCACAGAATGGAGACTCTTGCGAGCTGGGAAAATGTGGCTTTCCTTCAGCCTCGTAATTCTGTAAGCTTCAGGCACCTGGGCAAAGGCAGGGGACAAGGGGAAGTTGTGGAAAATACCTGGTGCTTCACTTACTTGCTGCATCCTAAGGAGCAGCTGAAGAGTTAGTTTGCAGGGGATAATGTCTCTTCAGGAAGGAAGATTCTTTTTACCAATTATCTGTTTACCTGATTAGGCTTAGAGAGTAGTGTTTCTGCAAAACCTCTTTCTGTATTTCTGACAAGGACTTTGCAGATGGAATAGAATTGACTCCTGCATCCTACCTCCAAAACATCTTCCTGTGGAGGACAGTAATTATGTTTTCCAAAGGACGTAGCTGACCTCTTTAGCTCCCTCCTTTCCACAGCCAGCACAGCCTCCCAGCTTCTTGCCATTTGGGGAGCAGGAATGAGAGGAA